CATTTCTTAAAATGTCTACCCCCACCGTGAAAAAAAGCAGAAAAAAAATTAAACCAACTGTACGTGTTCCAATTAAATCACCCACAACATTTCTTAAAACGTCTACTTAATTGGATAAAACAACAACTCACTTTGATAATTTCATAAATGTATTTTCTACTTACTCCAAAGGAATCATCTAGTGAATCAGTCGAAGACCTCTTGTCCTTTGTGGTTTTCAAACAACAACAACAGAAATTGCAGTTACTTGTGACCCTAGACAGACAATTTAGCCCCACTGTGAAAAAAAAGTGGAAAAAAACTTTGTGGTTTTCAAACAACAACAACAGAAATTGCAGGTACTTGTGACCCTTCGACAATCAATTTAACCCCACAGTGAAAAAAAAGTGGGAAAAAACTGAAACCAACTGGACGTGATCCAGTTAAAGCACCCAAAACATTTCTTAAAACGTCTACTGAATTACAGGAAACAACAACTCACTTTGATTCCATAAATGTATTTGTACATACTGCAAATGAATCATTCCTCTGCTGTAGGTAAAATCTCCTCTACTCAAGTCTCAGTAGAAGACCTCTGGTCCTTTGTGGTTTTCAAACAAAAGAAATTGCAGATAGTTGTGACCCTTCGATAGAGAATTTACCCCCACCGTAAAAAAAAAAGCAGAAAAAAAATGAAACCAACTGTACGGGTTCCTGCCATTCAGCTGTGTAGCTGCAATCGAAGGTAGCATGACCGAGCGGTCTAAGGCGCTGGATTTAGGCTCCAGTCTCTTTGGAGGCGTGGGTTCAAATCCCACCGCTGCCAAATATTGCTTTTTTATTGAATTGTGCATTATTCGTAAAGGCCAAATTACCCATTTGTCAACTCATATGATCACTGAAAATTGAGTCACGTTCAGGGCTCTTTTCGTCTGGGAATTAAAATGGGCAATAACGTTGCTTTTTTTTATTTCAAAGTGGCAAGTAAAATTTGCCATGCATGAACAGCTGTTAATCAAGCCAATAATAAATCTTATAGCAAAGAACATCTCGCTTCAGCTTTAAAGCACCCAAAACATTTCTTAAGACGTCTACTGAATCGGATAAAACAACACCTCGCTTTGAGAATTCCAAAATGTATTTGTACTTACTGCAAAGGAATCATTCCTCTGCTGTAGGTAAAATCTCCTCTACTCAAGTCTCAGTAGAAGACCTCTTGTCCTTTGTGGTTTTCAAACAACAACAACAGCAATTGCAGGTACTTGTGACCCTTCGACAGACAATTTACCCCCACCGTGAAAAATAGCAGAAAAAAAATTAAACCAACTGTACGTGTTCCAGTTAAATCACCCACAACATTTCTTAAAATGTCTACCTCCACCGTGAAAAAAAGCAGAAAAAAAATTAAACCAACTGTACGTGTTCCACCCACAACATTTCTTAAAACGTCTACTTAATGGATAAAACAACAAATCACTTTGATAATTTCATAAATGTATTTTCAACTTACTCCAAAGGAATCATCTAGTGAATCAGTCGAAGACCTCTTGTCCTCTGTGGTTTTCAAACAACAACAACAGAAATTGCAGGTACTTGTGACCCTCGACAGACAATTTAACCCCACTGTGAAAAAAAGTGGAAAAAAACTTTGTGGTTTTCAAACAACAACAACAGAAATTGCAGGTACTTGTGACCCTTCGACAATCAATTTAACCCCACAGTGAAAAAAAAGTGGGAAAAAACTGAAACCAACTGGACGTGTTCCAGTTAAAGCACCCAAAACATTTCTTAAAATGTCTACTGAATTACAGGAAACAACAACTCACTTTGATAATTCCATAAATTCATAACAGCAATTGCAGGTACTTGTGACCCTTCGACAGACAATTTACCCCCACCGTGAAACAAAGCAGAAAAAAAATTAAACCAACTGTACGTGTTCCACCCACAACATTTCTTAAAACGTCTACTTAATTGGATAAAACAACAACTCACTTTGATAATTTCATAAATGTATTTTCTACTTACTCCAAAGGAATCATCTAGTGAATCAGTTGAAGACCTCTTGTCCTTTGTGGTTTTCAAACAACAACAACAGAAATTGCAGGTACTTGGCGGGCACCGACAGACAATTTAACCCTGTGAAAAAGTGGAAAAAACTTTGTGGTTTTCAAACAACAACAACAGAAATTGCAGGTACTTGTGACCCTTCGACAATCAATTTAACCCCACAGTGAAAAAAAAGTGAGAAAAAACTGAAACCAACTGGACGTGTTCCAGTTAAAGCACCCAAAACATTTCTTAAAACGTCTACTGAATTACAGGAAACAACAACTCACTTTGATAATTCCATAAATGTATTTGTACATACTGCAAATGAATCATTCCTCTGCTGTAGGTAAAATCTCCTCTACTCAAGTCTCAGTAGAAGACCTCTGATCCTTTGTGGTTTTCAAACAAAAGAAATTGCAGATAGTTGTGACCCTTCGATAGAGAATTTACCCCCACCGTAAAAAAAAACGAAGAAAAAAAATGAAACCAACTGTACGGGTTCCTGCCATTCAGCTGTGTAGCTGCAATTGAAGGTAGCGTGGCCGAGCGGTCTAAGGCACTGGATTTAGGCTCCAGTCTCTTTGGAGGCGTGGGTTCAAATCCCACCGCTGGCAAATATTGCTTTTTTTATTGATTTGTGCATTATTCGTAAAGGCCAAATTACCCATTTGTCAACTCATATGATCACTGAACATTGAGTCACGTTCATGGCTCTTTTCGTCTGGGAATTAAAATGGGCAATAACGTTGCTTTTTTTATTTCAAAGTGGCAAGTAAAATTTGCCATGCATGAACAGCTGTTAATCAAGCCAATAATAAATCTTATAGCAAAGAACATCTCGCTTCAGCTTTAAAGCACCCAAAACATTTCTTAAGACGTCTACTGAATCGGATAAAACAACACCTCGCGCAGTTAAAATATACATTTGTAATTACTGCAAGATCATTCCTCCTGTAGTTAAATGTCCTCCTCAAGTCTCAGTAGAGACCTCTTGTCGCTGTGGTTTTCAAACAACAACAACAGCAATTGCAGGTACTTGTGACGCCAGAGGCAGACAATTTACCACGGTGAAAAAGCAGAAAAAAAAATTTAACCTACTGTACGTGTTCCAGTTAAATCACCCACAACATTTCTTAAAATGTCTACCTCCACCGTGAAAAAAGCAGAAAAAAAATTAAACCAACTGTACGTGTTCCAGTTAAATCACCCACAACATTTCTTAAAATGTCTACCTCCACCGTGAAAAAAAGCAGAAAAATTAAACCAACTAAAATGCGGCTCCACCCACAACATTTCTTAAAACGTCTACTTAATTGGATAAAACAACAACTCACTTTGATAATTTCATATATGTATTTTCTACTTACTCCAAAGGAATCATCTAGTGAATCAGTCGAAGACCTCTTGTCCTTTGTGGTTTTCAAACAACAACAACAGAAATTGCAGGTACTTGTGACCCTCGACAGACAATTTACACCCACTGTGAAAAAAAAGTGGAAAAAAACTTTGTGGTTTTCAAACAACAACAACAGAAATTGCAGGTACTTGTGACCCTTCGACAATCAATTTAACCCCACAGTGAAAAAAAAGTGGGAAAAAACTGAAACCAACTGGACGTGTTCCAGTTAAAGCACCCAAAACATTTCTTAAAACGTCTTCTGAATTACAGGAAACAACAACACACTTTGATAATTCCATAAATTCCATAACAGCAATTGCAGGTACTTGTGACCCTTCAACAGACAATTTACCCCCACCGTGAAAAAAAGCAGAAAAAAATTTAAACCAACTGTACGTGTTCCACCCACAACATTTCTTAAAACGTCTACTTAATTGGATAAAACAACAACTCACTTTGATAATTTCATAAATGTATTTTCTACTTACTCCAAAGGAATCATCTAGTGAATCAGTCGAAGACCTCTTGTCCTTTGTGGTTTTCAAACAACAACAACAGAAATTGCAGTTACTTGTGACCCTAGACAGACAATTTAGCCCCACTGTGAAAAAAAAGTGGAAAAAAACTTTGTGGTTTTCAAACAACAACAACAGAAATTGCAGGTACTTGTGACCCTTCGACAATCAATTTAACCCCACAGTGAAAAAAAAGTGGGAAAAAACTGAAACCAACTGGACGTGTTCCAGTTAAAGCACCCAAAACATTTCTTAAAACGTCTTCTGAATTACAGGAAACAACAACACACTTTGATAATTCCATAAATTCCATAACAGCAATTGCAGGTACTTGTGACCCTTCGACAGACAATTTACCCCCACCGTGAAAAAAAGCAGAAAAAAAATTAAACCAACTGTACGTGTTCCACCCACAACATTTCTTAAAACGTCTACTTAATTGGATAAAACAACAACTCATTTTGATAATTTCATAAATGTATTTTCTACTTACTCCAAAGGAATCATCTAGTGAATCAGTCGAAGACCTCTTGTCCTTTGTGGTTTTCAAACAACAATAACAGAAATTGCAGGTACTTGTGACCCTCGACAGACAATTTAACCCCACTGTGAAAAAAAAGTGGAAAAAAACTTTGTGGTTTTCAAACAACAACAACAGAAATTGCAGGTACTTGTGACCCTTCGACAGACAATTTAACCCCACAGTGAAAAAAAAGAGGGAAAAAACTGAAACCAACTGGACGTGTTCCAGTTAAAGCACCCAAAACATTTCTTAAAACGTCTACTGAATTACAGGAAACAACAACTCACTTTGATAATTCCATAAATGTATTTGTACATACTGCAAATGAATCATTCCTCTGCTGTAGGTAAAATCTCCTCTACTCAAGTCTCAGTAGAAGACCTCTGGTCCTTTGTGGTTTTCAAACAAAAAAAATTGCAGATAGTTGTGACCCTTCGATAGAGAATTTACCCCCACCGTAAAAAAAAAAGCAGAAAAAAAATGAAACCAACTGTACGGGTTCCTGCCATTCAGCTGTGTAGCTGCAATCGAAGGTAGCGTGGCCGAGCAGTCTAAGGCGATGGATTTAGGCACCAGTCTCTTTGGAGGCGTGGGTTCAAATCCCACCGCTACCAAATATTGCTTTTTTATTGAATTGTGCATTATTCGTAAAGGCAAAATTACCCATTTGTCAACTCATATGATCACTGAATATTGAGTCACGTTCATGGCTCATTTCGTCTGGGAATTAAAATGGGCAATAACGTTGCTTTTTTTTATTTCAAAGTGGCAAGTAAAATTTGCCATGCATGAACAGCTGTTAATCAAGCCAATAATAAATCTTATAGCAAAGAACATCTCGCTTCAGCTTTAAAGCACCCAAAACATTTCTTAAGACGTCTACAGAATCGGATAAAACAACACCTCACTTTGAGAATTCCAAAATGTATTTGTACTTACTGCAAAGGAATCATTCCTCTGCTGTAGGTAAAATCTCCTCTACTCAAGTCTCAGTAGAAGACCTCTTGTCCTTTGTGGTTTTCAAACAACAACAACAGTAATTGCAGGTACTTGTGACCCTTCGACAGACAATTTACCCCAACGTGAAAAAAAGCAGAAAAAAAATTAAACCAACTGTACGTGTTCCAGTTAAATCACCCACAACATTTCTTAAAATGTCTACTTCCACCGTGAAAAAAAGCAGAAAAAAAATTAAACCAACTGTACGTGTTCCAGTTAAATCACCCACAACATTTCTTAAAATGTCTACCTCCACCGTGAAAAAAGCAGAAAAAAAATTAAACCAACTGTACGTGTTCCAGTTAAATCACCCACAACATTTCTTAAAACGTCTACTTAATTGGATAAAACAACAACTCACTTTGATAATTTCATAAATGTATTTTCTACTTACTCCAAAGGAATCATCTAGAGAATAAGTCGAAGACCTCTTGTCCTTTGTGGTTTTCAAACAACAACAACAGAAATTGCAGGTACTTGTGACCCTCGACAGACAATTTAACCCCACCGTGAAAAAAAAGTGGAAAAAATTTTGTGGTTTTCAAACAACAACAACAGAAATTGCAGGTACTTGTGACCCTTCGACAGACAATTTAACCCCACAGTGAAAAAAAAGTGGGAAAAAACTGAAACCAACTGGACGTGTTCCAGTTGAAGCACCCAAAACATTTCTTAAAACGTCTACTGAATTACAGGAAACAACAACTCACTTTGATAATTCCATAAATGTATTTGTACATACTGCAAATGAATCATTCCTCTACTGTAGGTAAAATCTCCTCTACTCAAGTCTCAGTAGAAGACCTCTGGTCCTTTGTGGTTTTCAAACAAAAGAAATTGCAGATAGTTGTGACCCTTCGATAGAGAATTTACCCCCACCGTAAAAAAAAAAGCAGAAAAAAAATGAAACCAACTGTACAGGTTCCTGCCATTCAGCTGTGTAGATGCAATCGAAGGTAGCGTGGCCGAGCGGTCTAAGGTGCTGGATTTAGGCTCCAGTCTCTTTGGAGGCGTGGGTTCAAATCCCACCGCTGCCAAATATTGCTTTTTTATTGAATTGTGCATTATTCGTAAAGGCCAAATTACCCATTTGTCAACTCATATGATCACTGAAAATTGAGTCACGTTCAGGGCTCTTTTCGTCTGGGAATTAAAATGGGCAATAACGTTGCTTTTTTTTATTTCAAAGTGGCAAGTAAAATTTGCCATGCATGAACAGCTGTTAATCAAGCCAATAATAAATCTTATAGCAAAGAACATCTCGCTTCAGCTTTAAAGCACCCAAAACATTTCTTAAGACGTCTACTGAATCGGATACAACAACACCTCACTTTGAGAATTCCAAAATGTATTTGTACTTACTGCAAAGGAATCATTCCTCTGCTGTAGGTAAAATTTCCTCTACTCAAGTCTCAGTAGAAGACCTCTTGTCCTTTGTGGTTTTCAAACAACAACAACAGCAATTGCAGGTACTTGTGACCCTTCGACAGACAATTTACCCCCACCGTGAAAAAAAGCAGAAAAAAAATTAAACCAACTGTACGTGTTCCAGTTAAATCACCCACAACATTTCTTAAAATGTCTACCTCCACCGTGAAAAAAGCAGAAAAAAAATTAAACCAACTGTACGTGTTCCACCCACAACATTTCTTAAAACGTCTACTTAATTGGATAAAACAACAACTCATTTTGATAATTTCATAAATGTATTTTCTACTTACTCCAAAGGAATCATCTAGTGAATCAGTCGAAGACCTCTTGTCCTTTGTGGTTTTCAAACAACAACAACAGAAATTGCAGGTACTTGTGACCCTCGACAGACAATTTAACCCCACTGTGAAAAAAAAGTGGAAAAAAACTTTGTGGTTTTCAAACAACAACAACAGAAATTGCAGGTACTTGTGACCCTTCGACAATCAATTTAACCCCACAGTGAAAAAAAAGTGGGAAAAAACTGAAACCAACTGGACGTGTTCCAGTTAAAGCACCCAAAACATTTCTTAAAACGTCTACTGAATTACAGGAAACAACAACACACTTTGATAATTCCATAAATTCCATAACAGCAATTGCAGGTACTTGTGACCCTTCGACAGACAATTTACCCCCACCGTGAAACAAAGCAGAAAAAAAATTAAACCAACTGTACGTGTTCCACCCACAACATTTCTTAAAACGTCTACTTAATTGGATAAAACAACAACTCACTTTGATAATTTCATAAATGTATTTTCTACTTACTCCAAAGGAATCATCTAGTGAATCAGTTGAAGACCTCTTGTCCTTTGTGGTTTTCAAACAACAACAACAGAAATTGCAGGTACTTGTGACCCTAGACAGACAATTTAACCCCACTGTGAAAAAAAAGTGGAAAAAAACTTTGTGGTTTTCAAACAACAACAACAGAAATTGCAGGTACTTGTGACCCTTCGACAATCAATTTAACCCCACAGTGAAAAAAAAGTGGGAAAAAACTGAAACCAACTGGACGTGTTACAGTTAAAGCACCCAAAACATTTCTTAAAACGTCTACTGAATTACAGGAAACAACAACTCACTTTGATAATTCCATAAATGTATTTGTACATACTGCAAATGAATCATTCCTATGCTGTAGGTAAAATCTCCTCTACTCAAGTCTCAGTAGAAGACCTCTGGTCCTTTGTGGTTTTCAAACAAAAGAAATTGCAGATAGTTGTGACCCTTCGATAGAGAATTTACCCCCACCGTAAAAAAAAAAGCAGAAAAAAAATGAAACCAACTGTACGGGTTCCTGCCATTCAGCTGTGTAGCTGCAATTGAAGGTAGCGTGGCCGAGCGGTCTAAGGCGCTGGATTTAGGCTCCAGTCTCTTTGGAGGCGTGGGTTCAAATCCCACTGCTGCCAAATATTGCTTTTTTATTGAATTGTGCATTATTCGTAAAGGCCAAATTACCCATTTGTCAACTCATATGATCACTGAACATTGAGTCACGTTCATGGCTCTTTTCGTCTGGGAATTAAAATGGTCAATAACGTTGCTTTTTTTTATTTCAAAGTGGCAAGTAAAATTTGCCATGCATGAACAGCTGTTAATCAAGCCAATAATAAATCTTATAGCAAAGAACATCTCGCTTCAGCTTTAAAGCACCCAAAACATTTCTTAAGACGTCTACTGAATCGGATAAAACAACACCTCACTTTGAGAATTCCAAAATGTATTTGTAATTACTGCAAAGGAATCATTCCTCTGCTGTAGGTAAAATCTCCTCTACTCAAGTCTCAGTAGAAGACCTCTTGTCCTTTGTGGTTTTCAAACAACAACAACAGCAATTGCAGGTACTTGTGACCCTTCGACAGACAATTTACCCCCACCGTGAAAAAAGCAGAAAAAAAATTAAACCAACTGTACGTGTTCCAGTTAAATCACCCACAACATTTCTTAAAATGTCTACCTCCACCGTGAAAAAAAGCAGAAAAAAAATTAAACCAACTGTACGTGTTCCAGTTAAATCACCCACAACATTTCTTAAAATGTCTACCTCCACCGTGAAAAAAAGCAGAAAAAAAATTAAACCAACTGTACGTGTTCCACTTTACAACATTTCTTAAAGCACGTCTGCTTAATTGGATAAAACAACAACTCACTTTGATATTTCGCAATGTATTTTTACACTTACTCCAAAGAGGAATCCATCTAATTATGAAAGATCAGTCGAAGACCTCTTGTCGCTTTGTGGTTTCAAACAACAACAACAGAAGTACGGGTACTTGTGAACCTGCGACAGACAATTTATTACTGTAAACAGTGGGAAAAACTTTTGTAGTTTCAAACAACAACAACAGGAAATTACAGGTACTTGTGACCCTTCGACAAATAATTTAACCCACAGTGAAAAAGAGGTGGGAAAAACTGGGAAACCAACTGGGCGTGTTCAGTTAAAACGCAAAACATTTCTTAGCGTCTACTGAATTACAGGAAACAACAACTCACTTTGATAATTCCATAAATGTATTTGTACATACTGCAAATGAATCATTCCTCTGCTGTAGGTAAAATCTCCTCTACTCAAGTCTCAGTAGAAGACCTCTGGTCCTTTGTGGTTTTCAAACAAAAGAAATTGCAGATAGTTGTGACCCTTCGATAGAGAATTTACCCCCACCGTAAAAAAAAAGCAGAAAAAAATGAAACCAACTGTACGGGTTCCTGCCATTCAGCTGTATAGCTGTAATCGAAGTTAGCGTGGCCGAGCGTTCTAAGGCGCTGGATTTAGGCTTCAGTCTCTTTGGAGGCGTGGGTTCAAATCCCACCGCTGCCAAATATTGCTTTTTTTATTGAATTGTGCATTATTCGTAAAGGCCAAATTACCCATTTGTCAACTCATATGATCACTGAACATGAGTCACGTTCATGGCTCTTTTCGTCTGGGAATTAAAATGGGCAATAACGTTGCTTTTTTTTTTTTCAAAGTGGCAAGTAAAATTTGCCATGCATGAACAGCTGTTAATCAAGCCAATAATAAATCTTATAGCAAAGAACATCTCGCTTCAGCTTTAAAGCACCCAAAACATTTCTTAAGACGTCTACTGAATCGGATAAAACAACACCTCACTTTGAGAATTCCAAAATGTATTTG